AAAAAAAAAAAAAAAAAAAAAAGTATCATAAAGTTCAAGCAGGGGCCGACAGGTCTTCTGGGGCGAGGTCCCACTAGCAAAGAGAATTGGATTCAGCTCCTGAATCTGGATGTCTTTTAAGCAGAGGTGCAGAAAAGCATTTCAATCTCTGACTTTCTGCACCTCTCCACAAACACGTCCTGATGCAGGCAGTCCATCCAACCCTCTTTGCTATTGGGACCTCGCCCCTGACCAATCTCAGACAGAGCCCTTCCTCTGTACTGTCTTCACCCAAATAGAACGCCAGGTCATTATATTTGTATTGGGACATTCACTGTTGAATCTCCTCTTTTTTTTTTTTTTTTTTTTTTTTTTTTTTTTTTCTCTCCATTTCACCATATACCGCTAGGGTTGAGGACTTGCAAAATGGCTTTCTTGAAGTTTCTTCAAAAAAAAAAAGAAAAAAAAAAAGAAGGAATTGGTCTCTCCAGCAGTCATTGTCCTCAGAAAGGTGCGCCAGGGATTCGACCCGCAGCTTGTAATCCTGAAAGTTGTTCTGTGTAGACATGGGGCCTGGTCCCCATTAGCAAAGAGGATTGGATTTAATTCCTGAATCTGGATGTGTTGTAGGGAGAGGTGCAGAAAAGCAGATCAATGACAATTTTCTGCATCTTTCCACAAGCATGTCCAGATTCAGGAATTAAATCCAATCCTCATTGCTACTGGGACCAGGCCCCTTCCTTGACAGCAGAACCATCTGATACCCTGCCACTGGCTGCCAGCCAGCCTGTTCCATGGTAACCTTGGAACATTGAATTTCACCCATTTTCTGCCTTAGCTCGCTTCTATATGTGACTTCGTTGTGGCTACCTTTGGAGTGCCGATTCCCGGGAGCTGGGCCCAGTTCCCAGCACGTGATGCTCGCTACAAATAGATAGAGAGTTTTGTAAAAAACAAAACAAAAAAAAGACAAATTCCCGTCGCACTTGTGTTGTGACATTGACCATCTCTTCTCTTGATGTCGGTTTGAGAGTTCCTTTCCTTTCTGGCCGGCAGAGAGGCCTAAAAACCACCAGTACCTTTCCCCGCTTGAAAATCAGAGTCACGTCGGTATATTCCGAGGGCTTAAATGCACCAGTACCTTTCCCCGCTTGAAAATAAAAGTCGCACCTGTATATTCGGACGTCAATTATGAGGCAAGGGCCACTGTTCGCAGCCAGGATGGCTGCATATACATGGATGTGTTTTGTCGTGTAGTGCGGGGTTTCCGTATGGGGAATGGCGTTGGGCATGTAAGTGGGTATTTATGGCGTCGTTATGCACATAAATAAGGTTGCGGTCGCCAACTGGAGACCGACCGGTCGTTTCGTGAGGCAACAGGGCAGCAGTCGTGGGAGACGGTGGTGCGGTCTTCAGTTGAAGTGCGGGCAGCTGGAGGCCGTAGCGTGGTGTCCCGTAAGTTCTTCGTTTTGTCGGCAGCAGGGGGGAATGAATCGTGTGCTAGAAAATGGAAGTATACACCGCCATAATTTTTTATCTTTTGTGCTGTGGGTGAGTGGTGCGGCGAGGCTCTGGGCCCCGGATAATGCCGAAAGGATTCGAGGTCCGCTTGTCAACAGTTCATGGAGAGTTGCACTACTATCCATTCGTCAAGATTTTGAGTGCATCTGGATAGAAAGATGTCCAGAATGCATTCAGAATCTTGGTGGATGGCGAGTAGTGCAACTGGGCCCTTACTGACTCCCGTCAGTCGGGTAGGGATTGGCTATTGCAAGGTAGTCGCGGTGAGGGGCCCGTGGTAGTGTCAGTGAGGGGCAGATCCCACTTCTACCATTTTTTGTAAGAACGTAGAAGTGCCGTGAAAGGTGGAGGCGCAGCGCACGGAATGTGAAAGGAAAAAGCAACCCCACATGCCCTACATCTGTGGGACTTTTCCTAAAGGAGCGGCACTATCTTCTGGTGCCTCGACAATCCAACGGCCAGCACATCAGGAAAAGAAAAGGAAGGAAAAAACAAAGGCTCCTTTCACGGTGCAGGGTTCGGGGGTGGCCTCTTCCTGAAATCGGAAGAACTACCGCCCCTGCAATCACACTCGCGCTTCCACGTACAAGAACGTTTTCACTTCCCCGACTTTCCGGGACGGGATCCGAGTTTCGTGGAAAGAAGTGGTATCCCAAATTTTGCCTAAAAGTGCCCCGCTTATAAGAAGTGGGATCTGCCCCTGACTCAGTGCGATTGCCGATCTGCTGCCGTCCTGGCTGCGCCCCCACACCCTGCGTGGTATCAGTTGATAAGCTCCATAGCCGGCCCGTTTTTTGTTTACAGCCTCCCGAAACTGCCCGAGGCCAAGGGCCACCGTTGATAAGTTTCATCGCCCCGGAGGCCCAAACTGCCTGCGGCCAAGGGCCGTCGTTGATAAGTTTCATTGCCTCAGAGGCCCGTTTTTGGTTTCGGGCCTGCCGAAACTGCCCGCGTCCAATGGCCACCGTTGATAAGTTTCATCGGCGGCCTGTTTTTCGTTTCGGGCCTCCCGAAAATGGCCACAGCTGACATATTGGAAAGGTACTGGCGGCTTAACACAGGTTGTCGATTTTGGCAGAGAGGGGGATCGAGAGATAGACAGGGGGTATGAGGTGAGCACTGGGGTGAAGACTGAGGTTCTGTAGGAACCGGAGGGGGGGCGGGGGGGGGAAGGGGAGAGGGGGGAGAAGCGTGTCCAGGGAGATTCAGAGGGGGGTGAAGGGTGGGAAAAACTAGGTATTACCGAAGGGCCAGGCTGTGATGGACAAGGGCCTGGCGGAGGTGGGGGAAGAGCTCATGGAGCGGCGCTAGGAAAGCTTCTTCATCAGTGCCAGATACAGTGCAGGTCGGTATACTAGAGGCAGGGGACAGTCCGGGGAGACGCTCTATTCATCGTCATCTCTCTGCTTTTTTTGTTTTTTTTCTTAAAATAACTCACAGAGGGGTACCCATTTTAGGGCGTGATAAGAGCATCCGCCGAAAGTAGGTCCCTTGAGTGGAGGCTGCTGTCTATTGGTGGGGAGGGGAGCGTCACCTGCTGGAAACCGGTTCAAGCATCCCTGATTCCCTGTACCATCACTTGCATGGATCAATGCATGTGTACATTACAGTTGTGATCTGTATGTCTGACCTATTGCCCCCCCCGCAGTCAGGGTTACAGTTTGTAATTGCATTTCAGACTGCGTTTTAGCAGTTTTTTTAGTCAGGGCCCGAGTTGCAAATGCAGCTGAAACTCAGGCTGGCCTTTTTTAGCAGTTCAGTCAGGCACATGCCCCTTTTTTTTCCTTTCCCACCCTCGCGTGGCGGGGCGGGCCGAGATGTCTCGGCCACACCCAAGGAAAAAGCAAAAAAGCATCTCGTTGTGTGGCAGGGCCATGGCCGAGCTGTCTTGGTCACGGCTGACGGGAAACACACACACAAAAAAAAGGAGGGGGGGGTGAAAACGGAAAAAAAAACGAAAGACGGCCACATGCCTGACTGAACTGCTAAAAAAGGCCAGCCCGAGTTTCAACTGCATTTGAAACTCGGGCCCTGACTAAAATAACTGCTAAAACGCAGTTTGAAATTATGCAATTACAAACTGCTTTCGTGACTGCGCCGTAGTTACCCCTTCCTTTTTTTTTAGAATAGAGTTCGCAGCTATCAGACTGGGGGGGTCTAGTCACTGGGTGGGGTCTAGTATCTGCGGTAGGGACAGGTATGGGCCACCGGAGTTCCTACTGATATTCGGGTAGAACTGTCTAGTGGCTATATATAAGGCTTAGACCCTGGGGTACGGGTAGGGGTATAAGTCGTTCAGGCCAGTCCGAGTTCCGCCTGGCCTTGGGTAAGCTAGGGGAAGGACGGTAAGACTGCTTCAATGGGTGCTACCCTGTCTGAAACCTAGGGCCCAGAGTCTCTTGGGGCCTGTAGTAGATTGTCTGGGCCTGGCGTTCGAAGTTCCCGTTCGACAAGGCTCGTCCGATTCCGGTTTCACCAGGGCTGGGCAACCTATCAGCCCTGGTGCCTATCACTGCTGTTCGTGCCCATTGGTAGGGTAATGGTCCTGAGTGCTGGTCACACTGAGGTAGGATAGTGGGATAGGGGGTGCGCTAGGAGTATTGACGTGAGGATGGGAAGGGAGGTGGTCTCATATTCCAGGACACCCACGGCCTACTGCTCCAGGTGATCACTGTGTAGTCAGTGACTGGCCTCTACAACACCATGGACTTTTTATATTAAAAAAAAAAAAGAAAAAAGAATAGAGTTCGTTTTTTTCTTTTTCTTTTGCTTTCTTTTGCTTTTGTAGGACCTCAATCCGACTACCGGTAGCTGTAGGCTTGGCAAGGTTTGGGATACCGGTAGAGGGAGGCTCGGACTCGATAGCTGGGAAAGGTATTGGTGGTTTAAAATCCCCGTCAAATAACCACACTGTGAGGATTTAGTCCCTCGGCAGTGTCTGAAAGTGCCGTGCCCGCCCTAAGTGAAGGCGGGGCTGCAAATATGTGCCAATGCCTGTTTATGGGGCTATTAGACCAGACTGAGGGGCCCAAGCCGAGCCTGTTGTAAACGCCATGTGGGCATGGATCTTCGACAAGTCCTTGTTACAAGTTGGCTCCTTGGCATGCCCCTGTAGGGCCCTTTCAGCAAGCATGAGCCCGCCCTAAGTGAAGGCGGGCCCCTGAATTTCAATATGGCCCGAGTTCATCAATTTTGGCAAAGTTTGGTGGGCGCCAGACAGTTACCATGCGCCAGTTGGTTTCATCCTCCATACTGGTGAGAATCACAAATAATGCTTGAGCCTTCTAGGCTCTTCCAGCAGCATAGGCGAAGCAGTGAGAACCTAACGTTTACTCCTGGGTGGTTGGGCAGGATCAACCAATTCGGTCCCAGGCCACTGTCTGAATGGGCCTGGGCGCAGACACTTTGGCCCGATTGGAAGCTACTGGAAATACATGAGGCCCAGCCAGGGAGCATACCGGGTGATCACTTTCCGTAAAGGAAAGAGCTCGCCACTGGTGGAGGCATTCGGGCACTAGGCAGTGCATGCGGCAGCGCTGCTCGAGCGTGCGCTCGCGGGCTGTGCGCTGGGCACTAGCGCTAGTTGCCAGGCAGTGCGCACGGGCGCTGGAAGAAGGCAGGGCGCTGCTCAGGGCAGCGCCATAGCCAGCCCAACATAGCCAGGGCTGGGCTTGGACAGCCAGTGGAGGTGGTGGTGGTCTTTGTGCATAAGGGAGGAAGACAAGGATAGGGGGAGAGTGAAAGAGATGAGGATGATGATGTGAGGGCGCATACCTGGTATTGGCGATGGTCTGCATTGGTCGACATGTTCAAGTACTTCGGTGGCTGCTGACGTCAACAGTTGCATTGTCAATTCGTAGGCAGGAAGTAGCTGTGTAGGGAGTAGCCTGGGTGCCGAGTGCCAAGTAGGGAGAGAGGGCCTGGATACGTATGTTGGTGGGGACGAGAGAAAAGATCTCATTGACATTCGGTTTCAGTGTTTCGATTCTCCATTGGTGTAATATTGGTGCAATGCTGCTTATCTGGACACTGGGACTTTCATGCTTTCAATGTGATTGTGCTATCTGGATTCTGTCATCTCGCTATCTCGCATTTTCCTTGCAACAGCTTGGTCGAAAAACAATAGCACGTTGTGGCTGCCCAGGGGCAAGGTGCCGTTTACATGGAGTCTAGGGAAAGTGGGGTCTGTTGACCCCTCTTCTTGCCATAGGCATGGCTTACTGGACCACCAACCTGTGTAACAGTGTAAGTGGACCCCAGGGCCCAGGGGCAAGGACTAAATTTCCTGGATTCCAGGTTAAGTGGGGTCTGTTGGCCCGTCGTACATGGATTCTCTGGTTTCTGGTCATAGCCATACATTTCCAACCCAGCAAAAAAAAAAAAAAAAAAAAAAAAAAATAGATTACTTTTAAAATTAAAAAAAAAAAAACCCAAAAAAAAAAAAAAAAAAAAAAAAAAAAAAAAAAAAAAAACCAAACCAGCAATCCATCTAACTTAAAGTGGGGTGACAGACCCCCGGGGCCAGGGGCAGGGTTTACCTGCATTCCCTGTCTCTTGCTGCAGATTACCACCAGTATGTTTCCCAGCCATTTTTTAAGAGAACCGGCGGGCATGCTGCCATGTTCGGTGGGATGTACCCGGACGCTGTTTCACTGGACATGCATCCAGGCAAAGGGGTCGTATGCAAGGCTTGTTTTGCTTGGATGGATCATGGATGTCTTAGAGCCTCTTTCCACCCCACTTGAGTTCAAGTGCGACGCGAAAAATCATCGTTCCACCCCACCCTAGAGAAATGCTTTTTTGTTTTCACATTTTGCATCTCAAGTGCCCGCTCTTGAAACTCAAGTGCAGCCCAGGCAAAATCGCACTTGAGTTCAAGTCACCTCCCGGAGGTGCCTTGAGTTCAAGAGCTACCCTTGGGTTTCAGCCGCGGGTGCAGGTTTTTTTTTTCCTTTTTCTTTTGCGCCCCTCGTTCCTGGTTAACGGCATGTCCTTTTTGCGGTCCAGTGAGCAACGGCTACCGGTGGCGGTACCGGGTGCCAGCAGTCGAACTGTTGAGTTTGGTGGTTGCGGCTTCATGCGGGCCGTTGGGGCACACACGCGCGGTGACCGTTGTAGCGCACGGTGCATCGTCATCGAGGTGGGAAGATTCAAATTGGGAGTTTGGTGGCTGCGGCTTCCTGCGGGCCGTTGGGGCATACACGCGCGGTGACCGTTGTAGCGCGCGGTGCATCGCCATCGAGGTGGGAAGATTGAAATCTGTCGCACGCCGCAGCTGCTCGTAGCCGTTTGGACGCTGCGTTCTGGGCAAGGGATGTTTTGCCACGGCAGGTTCACATGGCAGTACAAGAGAAGCACGGTTGCTGCAGGTTGCTGCACCGGCGTTCGCACGTGCTTCTGCAAACCTCCGTTGTCGTTTCCTGTCGTGTGCGCTGTGCTGCGACGTGCATGGCGGACCATGCGAGGAAGTTGTCGCTGCTTTGTGTCCTCGTCCTCCTATTGCTGCTCCTGCTCATACTGCACCTGTGGTCTTCGAGGCGTGCAAGGGTTGTGCCCCACAAGCGGAAGCTGACGAGATCGAGCAAGCATCCGGCGTGTAAAGGAGGGATGGGTGCCGGCGGCGACGGGGCGGACATGTTCATGTACGGGGTTACGGGGGGTGGCGGCGAGGGCTGTTTTCCATCGGATACACCACGTTACGATCCAGCACTTTATGCGCACCTGCCGCCGCATCTTCAGTCCCTTCCCGACGATGAGAATTGGCAGCCGCCTCCATCGACATTCAACCTCACGCACGGCTCCACACAGTCCATATCGGACAGTGGAGTGTGGGTGGGAGATCAGCAGCCGAGGCAGGGGCCAATGACGTCACTTCTGTTCGACGGATTGCACCAGAGAATGTGCCCACCCCTCGATCTGCAGTTGTCTTCGGGGGTTCGCCCTGTCGCGTCACGAACGCTTATCATCAATCCCGCCAGCCGTTCGGAGGGCGACGCGTCAGTCGGACAGTCGGCTCGGCGGCCGGGTGCTGCGAGCTTGCAGCCAACAGCCGCACCTGCGAAGACCAACATTCATGCAGGTCCGACGGTGACGCGACCGATGGCGAGGGTTCGGGCATCATCGGAGGGTAGGCAAGCCAATGTCGTGGACGACATCATCGCCAAGGTGTCCACGATGCGCGCCACGAGTGACGGAGATGGCAGTGCCGGTGGGGGTGCGGACTGTGAAATCGTGGAAGATGCAGCAGCAGACGACGTGGAGGAGGAAGACGACGAAGTCGACGCTGAGGAGCCATGGCCTACGATAAAGAGTCAGAAGAAAACGCCGGCGAGGAAACCAGCTCCGAAGGGGCGGGGGAAGGGGACGGCCAAGGATGGGGGTGGCGAGAGCGGCGGGGGAAGGATAATATGGAATCTGGATGACTCCATCACCCTCGTCCGCTGCAAGAGGGAGCATGACGAAACTCTTGCTGCGGCGGGCCATAACTTTGCGAGGATGAAGACGAAGCAGTGGAAATGGACTGACATCGCCAAGAGGATGGAGGTGCTGGGAGTGACCCGTGAGTGGGATGTGTGCATGAAGAGATGGGAGAATATGTTCTCGTGGTACAAGAAGGTGCAATGGAGGGAGAAGGAGTCCGGGTTGCAGTCGTTCTTCACGCTAACGCTGAAAGAACGAGCCGATAAAGGGTACAAGTTCCGGATGGATCGCCGACTTTACGAGGCAATCCATGCCGGTCAGCACGGTAATCAAACCATCCACCCGCCGAATGTGGTGGACACGGGGGCTTCTGAGCAGCTAGGTGCAAACAACGGCGGCACGGGCGAAACTTGGCGAGTGATGATGGCGATGGGGAGGCCAGGGAAGGCTGCCCGAGCAGGTCGTCAAGCGGGATGAAGTTCACGAAAAGGAAAAATGCAAGGCAACAGACTTTTGAGGCGGTGACGGACGTCATGTCCACTCACTCAACAGTTGTGGCCGATTCAGTGGACAGGGCCAGCAAACGACAGTGCGACATCCTTCAGCGACAGTGCGATATCATGGAGAGGGAGGTCAAAGTGCACGAGACACAGTG